CTGTCTGAGGTTTCTGTTCTGTTTGTTTGTTTCCGCTCTGCTGCAGTCTGGTTCCTGTTCTCCAGGGAACAGATCACCTCTTCAAAGCTCCTCGCCTTGGTCCTTCTCATGCCTACCCAACCTCCTCTATACCTGGGCCCGCAGTTTCCCCCTGCCTCATTCCCCTCCAGTTCCCAAGACCGACTCTGACCTTGAACCCAGGGCTCCATCTAGTCCAAAGAGGAAACCAGTGTCCGTCTGTTCTGCCTGAGAAGCCCAATAATGTTCACCCACTTATTAAATAGATATTACGTGTGCCAGGAAACCAGCGCTGATCTGGTCCCCTCAAAGATTTTCAGTCTATCGGTTGTCTGTTGACCTCTAGGGCTTCATTGTTTTTGGACAAAGTTTATTATTGGAGACGTAGCACGACAAGTGGAGGAGCGCTCAGGGAACCGGTTTAGTTAAGAGAGAAGCAGGACAGAGAGGAAGGATGCGGGCGTCCTCCCTAGTGAGGAGGACCGGCCGCCGGGGCTTCAGACTCAGTGAACCATCCTGGAGAAACTGAGGGTCCCGGAAGAGGTATCCAAAGCCAGGAGGACTTAGGCGCTTCGGGGGCACTGTAGTCGCTTGGCGCTCTTCTACTCTGCCCTCTGGCTGTACCCAGGGCTGCGCCTGAAGACTGGGGCTGCTGCTACATCCGGGTTTCTCCCCTGGGGCCCTCACTTTCTCCAGCTGAAGCCTCTGAAGCCAGATCTCTCTCTCAGCCTCGCCCCTACAACAAGTCCCTCCTCAGACTTCTGAGCCCTGCCAGATCCAGAACTCCACCTGGGAATCCAGGGATCCAGACTGCTCTGCCAGCACCGAGGTCTCTGGCCCTGCTTCCTCTGACTCCTCCCCGCCCGCGGTCCCCAGTCCCTGCCTTTTCCAGCCTGCTGACTCCTTTATCCCAGAGTCAGGCCTCAGCTTCACATTCACATTCTTCCTGGCTCCGAGTCTTCCTCCCGTCTCAGGACTGCCCAGCACCTCTCCGCCTTCTCAGGATGGCCCTGGTCTCTTTTCCTCCTAGCCTCCCTTGCTAACCTCCATGTCCAGATCTCCCATCTCCAGGCCCCCTTCTGGTCCTGGGGTCCTTCTCATAGCTGGGGCTCCTCTGGCCTCAAATTCTCCACGTCCTCCCCAGAACGCTGGGCGCTCCCAGCAGCGCTGACTCTCACTGATGGGCTGTCTGTCTTCCCGGCTCTGCTTTCCCCTGATCCTCTGAGTCTGCCTCCTCTCTGGGGCTCCCTTGGTATCTCCCAGCCTCTGCCCCCGCCTTCCTCCCGCAGGTTGCATTCCGTCTCCCATTCCCGGGCTTCTGGCCCTGCTCCCACGTCTGGGCACCCCCGAGTCCCTGCGGCCCGGGTCTGCCCCCCTCCTCCCTGCAGTCTCTCTGCCCCGTCTTCTCTGGCTCCCTCAGGCTAAGTGCCCCGCTCCTCACGCCTGTCGCTTTCCTCCTCTCCCTCTGTCTCTCCAGCGAAGTCTCTCCTCCCAGCGGCTCCCCGCGACCGTCTCACCCCGGCCTTTGTCCCTCCATCTCTTCCTCCTGCTCTGTCTATCTCTGGGCCCCAGAGCGGCGTCCGCTCCCCGCCTCTCTCTCNCCCCCCAGCTCTCCCTAAGGTCAAATGATGCCCTTTCCCCCTCCCCGCAGAGGTGCTCCCCCCACCCACCCCACCCCCAGCGACTCCAGGGAACCAGATCCCCTCATTCCCTTGTGGTTTGGCAAAGTCGCCCCCCTCCCCACCAACTGTTTGGTTTTATGGCTCTGAACAGAAGAGGGGAGACTGGTTTATTGGCAAGTGGGTCATAAAAAGCTGAGGGCCGAGGGGAGTCCTGGCGGCCCAGCCCCGAGGTAGAGGCACACACTCCCAGGTGTGCCTCCAGGAGGCTGAGTGCCCGCCGCTGGCACTGGGTTTTCTGTGACCCTAACTCCGCAGGACTTGGTCAGGGCTGTAAAGAAAGGCACACTCAAAGGACTGGGAAACTATCCTGCCGTAGCGGGTGGGAAGGTCTAGGATCTGGTCTTGAGTTCCTAAGTCTCCCTTCTGTTCTCAAGGTTCTGCTCCTATACAAGCGAAGGTCAGACTGACTGAGCAGAGATGGGGGTTAGAAATCAAGTTAGAAGCAGCGTGGTCGAGGGATTCTGAAGAAGAGTTTGCCGGAAGAAGATGAAGGGTGTGGAGGAGAGAGATACTTTGGTCTACGCGGTGCGTGTGTGTGAGGATTTCCAGTGCGAGACGGAGCTGTGGACTCCCCTTGCTCACTCTGTGCTTAGCATCTCTTAACCTATAGGCCGGAGCCCGGAGATCGCTCTGGTCACTGGGATGCAGGAAGTGAACAGACGCTGCACACGCAGTTGGGGCAATGCAGGTTAGACTCGGGGGTGGGCAGAAGGGGGAAGGACGCCAGCAGGTGGGGTTCCACCTCGGCTTCGGCCCTCCAGCCACCCCGGGACTTGGATAACCAGGGAATGGGTCTCTAGCCAGGTATTGTACGTCCCCTTTAAGAGACAAGCTGAGCTCTTAAGCGAGGGAGGGGGAGCTGAGGGGCGGGGAGGGAGAGAGGGGAAAAGGAAAAAGAGACTTTTATAGTCTAATCCCCAGGGACCCGCTTTAATAAGAGACTTGTGCTCTGCTAATCGGGGGAGGTGTTTGTCAGCAGAGATGGCCTCCGCTCCCCTCCCCCTCGCTCCCCTCCCCCACAGCCCTCTGCCCTGGACCCCAGCCCCCACCCCTCCTAGGCTGCGCGGCCTGCCCTAGTTCCCTCCACCCTCTCGGGCGCTCCCACCCCAGCCTCCATCCTGGGAACCCGGCCCCCTCGCCTTCTGGGAGCCAGGCCCAGCCCCTGCTTCTCTCTCCTCCCTACACCCCGAGGCCCCTGCCCTCTCTGCCCAACCTCCTGCCCCTAGGCTTCCCAGCCAGGGTTAGGAGAGTGAGTCTGGTGTTTGGGGGTGGGGGTGGGGGGTGTGGGAAGAGGAGGGGTGGTGAGCAGGGAGGGGGTTGGGCTTTTGCTGAAAATAGTGCAGTGACCTCTCTCCAGACCAGAGCCGCCTACTAAACCTGACCTGCTGCCTGCCACCGACCCGATCAATCCGACACAGATGTGGCTCCTTCCCCTCCCCTTGGGAGCTGGGCTGTGCGCTGGGGACCCTCTCGAGCCCCTGGTTCCCTCTGTGCCTCTACCTGTTTCTTTGTTCCTCCCCCCGTATTCTTCTATCCTTTCTCCTTACCCCACTAGTCTTGGCTGCCTACCTTTCAGCTTCCTAACCCCCATTCAACTCCTTCAGCATCCCTCCTCCTCTCCCAGTGGCCTCCAGCCCCCAAACATATTTCTGCCCCCGCCATGGTCCTCCCCGGCTTCTGTCCTCCACTTCTCTCTCTTCTAGATGTCTGTCTTCATCTCTAAGTCTCTTCTCTCTTCTTACCTCCCTCACTTTCTCCGGTCTCTCCATTTCTTTCCCTTTTCTTTCTCTGAATGTCTCCGTCCTGTCCCCTTGTGGTACCAACTGGCCTCATATCCACTGGGGGAGAAGTGTATGATGATTCCCAGGGGTGAGGACCGGGGACTCTGCCTGAAGGCCCAAAGCCTTACAAGGATGGGGCCCTGGAACCCAGTCCCCCATCACTAAGCCTCGGGTCATGTTTAGTTAGGGATACATGTTTAGAGTTTACAAAACCAACAATAAATCAACTGAGAAACTACTACTATTTTCACATTCTTTATTTAATGCTCAGCACTCCTGTGAAGCAAGGATTATGATCTGTAACAGTGAGAAGCTTGGTGCCTAAGGTCACATATTGGTTAATGAGTCAGGCAGTGATTAAACCCACATCAACTGTAGCCAGAGAACAGGGTTTACGACAGCACTGGCCTGTGTCATCGAAGACGGTTAGCTTAGGGAGTTTACTCAGCATGTAGTTACTGAGCACGGCCTGGTACTGCGGGAGGCAGTGAAGCTAAGGAGGTGAGCAATACGGACGCGTCAACACAGGGTCTGCCCTCATGGAGATCAGTCCTTAATGGTGAAGGCAGGCAGGAAAGCAAAGCCATCTCTATACCGAAGTGAGGCAAAGTATGCTATCTGGATTGTTGCTTGGCACTGTCCATCCACCCCACCGCCCCATCACGGAAACTCCAGCAGGAGAATAACTGGACCCCAGTGCTCTGGACACTTTTGGAGGAGAACTTAGGGAAAGAAAGTGTGTCTTGGCTCCTGAACATCTGACGATCAGTGAGCACTTTCCTCCCCATTTCACTTGGAGTGCCCTCCTAGTGTCTCCTAGGGTGGGGAATGATTATGAAGCAACAAATGATAAATTCTCCATGATTATGCAGACCTGGGCATGATACAAATGGGCTTGGACTTCCTGATCATCCTTTTATGGCTCTGGAAGTTCATTCCTAGTTGTTCCTCAGACTATTAAGAGTGATAATGGATATTCATAACCAATAGAAAGATGATTTAGGGCATTCCCAACTGAGATTAGAAAGGGTAACTGAGAGGAACTGAAATGGAAACAGAAGCAGATATTGAGAATCATCCTTTAAACTCAAGAATGGTCAGATTATGATCCAAAACAAGGGGAAATTGGCCAAAATGTAAAGCTGGGATGTTAATGACTTTTTACAGACTTAGTGGCACTGGACTGAGAAACCAAAGGAAGCTCAGAGGGGAGAAGACATTTCCATTGATCTGATTTCTTGAACTTTATTTCCGATGCTTTGGGAAAGTAGGAAAAAAATACACAGGTGGTTCTTCCCTTTCTTGGAAGGGGAGGCATTAATGGTGAGGAGGAGGAAACAGCTGAGGAACTTTTCTCAGGGTCAAGGGATTGAGCAGTCAGGTGCAGGCGCGCGTGCACGTCCAACTCTGCATCCCTGTGGACTGTAGTCTGCCAGGCCCCTCTGTCCATGGATTTCCCCTGCAAGAATACTGGCATGGGTTGCCACTTCCTTCTCCAGGGGCTCTTCCCGGCCCAGCAATCAAACCCTGGTCTCTTGTGTCTCCTGCCCTGGCAGGTGGAGCTCCACCTGGGAAGCCCACATACATTGGGAGTACTTAAGTGGTTCCATCCTTCTGGGTGTGTTATTTCTAGTGGGAATGGTGCAAGAAGCCTAGATTTGAATTCTGGTCTACTACATGGAATAAATTTAGCCCTTGTTCCTTATCTGGACCCTGGGTTACCCATTCCCTGAGGCCATCTGTTTTGGGTGGGGGCCTGTGCCAGGCTACACCTGGCCACCAGATAAAGCAGAGCAGAAATGGGCCCAAGGTGACCTGAGGACAGCAGGTCTGGTATGAAGTTTGGCTTTTACGGGGAGCATCAAAGGTTCAGAAACAGCTGGAGCCCTATATGCTGGGGAAAGTTGGAGGAAGGGAAGACTGCAGGAGAAGAATTCCCCAATACTACTTTTGCAGCTTACTTGGTAGAGAGGAACCTATGCATTAAGACAAACATTTAAGGAAGGGATGCAGATTAGTAAGGCCTGATAGAGCCATTATCTTACAAGGAGAGCGGGGGTGCTGTTCTAGGTACCAGTGATGCGACAGTGAAGACAGGCAGGGGAGAGGGTAAAGAACTGGAAAACACACTGAGGAGGCTGAGCTGCCCATGCCCCCAGGGCTGCTGACCTTCTCCACCACAAACACTCTGCTGATGCTGTGCCCCCTTCTCTCTCATCAGCCGACCCTGCGGTGCAGACAGACGGCAGCCCTCTTTGCTGCCATTTCCACTTCAGCCCCAAGGTGATGTTCACCAAGGTCCTGAAGGCCCAGCTGTGGGTGTACCTCCGGCCCGTGCCCCGCCCAGCCACGGTCTACTTGCAGATCTTGCGACTGAAACCGCTAACTGGGGAAGGGACTACAGGGGTAGGGGGCGGAGGCCGGCGTCACATCCGTATCCGCTCACTCAAAATTGACCTGCACTCACGCTCCGGCCACTGGCAAAGCATCGACTTCAAGCAAGTACTACACAGCTGGTTCCGCCAGCCGCAGAGCAACTGGGGCATCGAGATCAACGCCTTCGATCCTAGTGGCACAGACCTGGCTGTCACCTCCCTGGGGCCGGGAGCTGAGGGGCTGGTGAGCAGGGAGCCTGCGATATTGGCAGCTATGTATAACCTGGCCCTGAGGAGGTGGGATGTTGGAGATGGTCGACCAGAAATGTAAAGGGGGTTAGGGACCAGCGTAATTTTTCTAGGCCCAGAGCTGACTCTAGAGGTGGTGGTGGTGATGGTGGTAACGGGGTGCTACCAGTTTTCAGAGATCCAAGGCAGGCCAACATTTGAAAACTGTATTTGGGGTGAAGGTGTGCGTTAATAGATTCACAGGACAATAAAGATGGGCTGTTGTTGAGACCTTGGGTCAAGGGGCTGATGAGGGTCAGGTTGCCGAGAGAGACAATGAGGGAAGGTGAGTTTAGGGAGACACAGCTAGCTGGCAAGAACAGTGGGTAGAAAACGGGGCTGGAGAGGGGAGCCCTGGAGAAGCTGAGAAATCGCTGGTGTCTGTCCCCTGCCCCTAGAGGGGCAGGGGAGAAGCAACAGGCAGCAGGGGCGCCTCGGGCTCTGTTACACCTCTTTCTCCTCTCCCTCGCCCCCAGCACCCTTTCATGGAGCTCCGAGTCCTAGAGAACACAAAGCGGTCCCGGCGGAACCTGGGCCTGGACTGCGACGAGCACTCGAGCGAGTCCCGCTGCTGCCGCTACCCCCTCACGGTGGACTTTGAGGCTTTTGGCTGGGACTGGATCATCGCCCCTAAACGCTACAAGGCCAACTACTGCTCCGGCCAGTGCGAGTACATGTTCATGCAAAAGTACCCGCACACCCACCTGGTGCAGCAGGCCAACCCGAGGGGCTCTGCCGGGCCCTGCTGCACACCCACCAAGATGTCCCCCATCAACATGCTCTACTTCAACGACAAGCAGCAGATTATCTACGGCAAGATCCCTGGCATGGTGGTGGATCGCTGTGGCTGCTCCTAAGGTGGGGGACAGTGGACGCCTCCCCAGCAGACCCTGCCCCTAGACCCCCCAGCCCTGACCCCCTGCTCCCCAGGCCCTAGAGCTCCCTCCACCTTCAGATGTAACATCACCCGTGTGCCCTGCCCACACGGTGTGCAGTGCGAGCGAGGGAGGCAGGTGGGGGACTGAGGGGCGAGGGGTTTGGGGGAGAGGGGGGAGAGGAGGGGCATGGTCAGGTGGGGAATGTTTGAGGTGAGAAGGTTTGGCAAGAGACAGAGAGACGTAGAGACAGAGGTAGAGCAGAGGGATAGAGACAGAGGAACAAAAAGAGCAGCAGTGAGAAGGCAAAGGGATGGAGATGCAGGAGAGAAGACGAGGCGGAGGTAACCATGAGAAAGAGACAGAAGTGGAGAACTAGGAGAGAGCCCCACGCCGAGCCTCCTTTCTTCCACTGGGAAGGTGAGGGGCTTGGTATGGCTGGGGAGGTCCCCTGACGGCCATTCTCAGTAAGACAGGAAATCAAAATCCATTCTTTGCTTCTTCTCTTTCTCCCTCCAGCAGTGGCTGGGGGAAGGGAAGTGAGGGCAGGGGCAAAAGTGAGGATCTGGGGATTTTATTTATTTATTTATTATGACTTTTCATTTTTTGGTATTTGGCTTTACTTAAATAGATGGGCCCCTGCCCACTGCGCCCCATCTGCCCCTCATTCCCCAAACCCTGTTCTCCCTCAGTACTCACCTACTTAAGCACTTGTTTAAAGCTTCCAGGGTTGAGAATGGGAGTAGAGGGCAAGAGGGCCGACATGGAAGTTTCCAACCCCAAATCACCCCACTTAAACTTCCTGAGCCAAACGGGTTGAACTGAATTCCAGCAGTCACAGAAATGGTAAGACGTTAGGGTGTAGGAGTTGGGGGGTGGGGGTGGGAGGGAGGGGCTCAACATCCAGGATCTGTATGAGAGCCACAGAGCTAACCCTCAGATCTGCCCTCACGGTACTGACTTCCTTAGGCAGAGGCGTGGCCTGCTTATGCCCACATCCCCCCCCCCAGCCAAGAGAGAGACCAAAGAGCCTGCGGAATGCCTCTGCTCCCTGCCTCTACCTTCAGGTCCATAAAAAGAAGAGTAGAGACAGCCCAGAGTCCCCAGGTCTGTGAAGGGTCAGGAGGGGTCAAGAAAGGAGTAGGGAGGCTGAAGGATACAGGGCGTTTGAATCCAAATCACTGCTCTGGGCTAGGGAATAGAGCCAGCACGCCGAGGTGGAAGGGATTCTGGAAGGGGGACCTTCCAGTCCCCCAGCCCCAAAGCTCAGGGTGGGAGAGGGTAGAACGAGGAAGCAGAGTGTCTATAATTATTTTTTATCTTTTATTTTTGGAATCTAGCAGTACCTGGCAGCAGGGAGGGGACGATACAGTGGGGGAAAGCATCTGACAAGGCCAGTTAGAGCAGAGGTCAGGAAGGATGGAGACTTCCTGCTTTGGAAAGCTGGAAAGCAGGCAGGGACTGGTTGCCACTCCAGGTCACTAGCTGGGCATATTCATTCCTTTCATAATCCTGACCCATCCTCCTCTGGACTCACTGTGCCTCAGTTTCTTCCCCTCGATGGAATGAGAGAATAGCAGCACCCGCCACAGCCAAGAGATGAATTCTGAGCACTTACCACGGGCACTTTATGGACATAAAATACCTCTCGCTGTGGGACAGATAACCAGGGCACCAGAGTAGCGGTGAAGAGATGTGAGGCTTAGAGGAGTCACAGGCTTCAGAGTACAAGTTCCCCTCTGCCTCCCAGCTGGACAGTGCCTGACACCAAGGAGCTGACAACCTTCTGATCCACACCTTATCCATACCTCACCTCCAGACCTCCTGGCTCCAGGCAGGAGCCTAGAGGATGTCAGGAATGGAGGGGGAAAGAACCTTCAACAAAACGCACTCTGAGTAGCATCAGCGGTCATGGGTCTGATGCAAACAATACGGAACACAAGTAAATCCTGAGCTGGAAAGCTGACCTGGAAGGCTTGTTCTTCCTGAGAGCATGACCTTCCTGCCTGGCCCAGCTGGTGGAAGGGGCAAAGGTATGTAACCACCCTTGGAAAGGTGCTGGTGGTGAATTTGGGCATCTTATTCCCATTCCCATAGTGAAAAAGTGAGATGAGGTATTTTGGTACTGGAATGGGCAAGGGCTCATTTCAACTTGCCTCCTCCCACGCAGCAGCAGGACTGACCCCCAGCCTCTTCTCTCTGAGGCCCTGTTCTTCATCACTCCTTCTGCTCCAATCTTGGAGAACAAGATGCACCTGACCACCAACACCATTCACACTTCCTTGGTGGAAAGAAAGGAACAGAGAAGTGAAGAACAGAAGATGCCTCCTCCAAGGTCAAATGCCCAGGTCTCTTGATCTTGGCACAGGGTGGGGATTGGGCAATAGGCATCAGGTGACTTCCCTCTAGAAACTCTAGAGAGCTGGGGCAGTAGACTTGGGGACACTTAGAATACACCCCTTTAATGCCACCAAATAAAGACCTTTGGGGGAAGGTCATTCTCTTATGAACATAAATCTATGAGTTGGAAGTCTCATTCCCCTGGTCTTCCTCACCCCCAAAGAGGCATGGGGTAAAGAGGCTTGGGGGCATAGCCCAGCAAACTAGTGGGAACTAGTACCCCCTCTCACCTTATGATGTGCGTGGACCTGGCCAGTGCCCCTCTGACCATAATTAGTGTAATTATTATTTACTTTGTGTATTTGTTACGCCGTGTGTGTGATTGCCTTTGTTTGTTAAGGGTGTCTGCGGAGTATGGGGCTGACGGGCACTGGAATGCCGGGAAAAGACCTCTTCACTGAGATCAAGGCTTCCTGAAGGGAACCATTACAAAAAGGCCATCAGGCAGTTTTCAAGTTATGTGACAGAGGGCAAAGATGGCCATAGGGTGCTCTGAGTTTTGGGATGGTCACATGACACAATCCAGCACTTGAACCTGAAAAAAGAAAAATAAAAGCAGTCAAAGAGTTTAGAATTCAGCATTAAGCTCTTCTCCCTAATCAAGCGCCATGTTTACACCTCGGACACCAGGAAGCAGACGATGTGAGGGAGAATGAAACTTTGTGCTTAAGGAGTAAGAAGATGGGGGTTTTGGGATGAGAGCTGGGGCTTGCAGCCAAGGAAGGTTGGGCTGAGGATGGGAAAGAAAGGGAACCCAGACCAAGTCTTCACTGGAGGCTTGATCCTGAACAGTCCCAAAGGTTACAAAACGCTCTCCCGGCCTCCACAGAGCAGAAGATCCAAGCTCTCTTGAGATAATATCTACCCTATTTTCCTACAGTTCCCTGACCCGAGGTTTCCTCAACAAAATCCACAAGCCAACCCAACTTTGAACTTCCAGTGTTCCAAGAATGGTTAAGCATCTTAATACTTTCATTCTACTATAAAAATGTCTCCCATGTCCCTGGAACACGCTTCCCAGGGCATACAAATAGGGGGGAGTAGCAAAAGAATCTTGCCTGTAACTGCAAGTAGGAAAGCTCCTGTGACGTCAGTCTGACCCAGAATGGGGGCAACACGGGTTCAGTGGGCCACTCCCCGCCCTGTCCGCTGTGTTAGCAGACTGACCCCCCAGACCAAGTTGAGGGAAGCCTAAAGAGCTACACATTGTGTCCTCCCCACGAGGAGCTGCTCTAAGCACACCTACCCCTACATTCTGCCCCAGGTAAAAACAGATCCCCCAGCCCACCCAAGGCCCGCTGCTTCCTGCCTTGAGAGAGCAGCAGGAAGTTACAAGATGAGGCTCACACTCAAACACCTGCAACCTAATGGATGAGTAGCTGCCCTCCTCTTTGTCTCTGCCCACATCAGGGGTCCCGAGCTAAAAGCCAGCGGGCAGGGGCATTTACAGCCTCTGGTGTATGGTGGGGTAGCAGCTGGGAAGTCAAGGCAAAGCCACAAAGCCAGCTTTCCCGTCAGTGAGCTGGGTGTAAGGGAACAATCGGGATGACTCCTACCTATTTTCATTCTCAGAATCCCCCAAAGCATTTGCATATGTGGTGTACCTACACACACACACTCTCAAATTAATACACTCAGCCCCCTACCCTCTCACTGTAACTTATTCAGGAAAAAGAAAGTACTTCTATGAATCACCAAGTAAAATTAAGAGCTAATTATTACTGAATGATTACTCTACAATATATGATAAGCAAACTGTGCGCCTTACATAAATATGACAGTATCAGTTCTCACAGCAATCTTCGCACAGAATTGAAAACAGTGGTTAAGAATGATTAAGTAATTTGCCCAGGGTCTTGGAGCCAGCTGAGCTAGTGTGGCAGAACAAGGAATTATACTGAAGTAGTCGCTATATGATATTTCATTCTATTTATAGTGATATGAGAGATAGAAAAATTAAAGGCAGGGATAACTGAGAAAGGAAAAGAAATAAAGAGAAAGCTGGGAGTACTTTAGGCTCAGTGGAAGTCCAAAATCGCAAAACTCGGTATTTTTCAGTCCCTTTGGAAGGAAATACAGGAAGAGTGTGTTGACGTGCTGCAAGAGAGGGGAACATTAGATTTTGGTGGAGTCCAGTAATCAGAGATGAGTGACACTGTCAGGGGGTCCTCATGAAAGAGAACAGGGAAAAACACTTATTATAGAATATAGTCTTATATTCTTATTTATATTAGGTCTTTCCTTCCACCTGATCTGTATCTCACGTCAGACATGGCAACAGGACTCAACACCAAGAAGTGCTGTTATTGCATCTTCCTTCCTTATAGCCCTCGCCCCCATAGAAGCTTCTAGCCTTGTATCTTCAGAAGTAAATTCCCAGGATTTGGGGTGGGGGGAAGGGCAGTTTATAGTGATGGTGGAGAAAAACAGAATGATCCCAGAGAACCATAAAAAGGTGCAGATTTACAGCGGAAGCTGGCTCTCTCCGCATCTTTTATAGACTCCCTCATTAAGAGCTTCCAGGTATGCAGAGAATGTCACAGCTTCAAAACAGGGAAAAGAAGCCTGGAGTCAGCTAACTACATCTGGATCCTGGATTAGCTACACTAAAGAGACTGGAGGATAGGAAGGAAGGGTACTTGGATCTCAGATAAAGAACTGCAAGGCTGGATGCTTATTCTGCCTCTCAAAGGACTTACTATTTTAGGACTGAATTAGTAAAAAACGTAGGAATCCTGAACTAGTCATGCTCAGAAAGTATATGTGGAATGATTACAGTGAGACAGGAAGAGGAGGATTTGGTGATCAGGCTTGGAGGTGAGAGACCTCTGACCAACGTAAGAACAACTGCTGGAATAGGATGAAAAGGGCTAATAAAAAACCCACACAAGCCTGATGAGCAATTCTGGGCTTCCCTGGTAGCTCAGCTGGTAAAGAATCCACCTGCAATGCGGGAAGCCTGAGTTTTATCCCTGGGTTGGGAAGATTCCCTGGAAAAGGGAACGGCTACCCACTCCAGTATTTTGGCCTGGAAAATTCCATGGACTGTATAGTCCATGAAGTTGCAAAAAGTCAGACATGACTAAGCGACTTTCACACACAGCTGTGTCAAAAATATGGGGAAAGTGAGTTAAGTATGGAGAAGAATGATTAGGCTTTAGGAAGAGAATCCTGGGGACAGTGGTTGGGGGTGCAAAGTCTGAATACCTTACTGAAACATTACAGAGGATAAGGAGACAAGGTGAAGAAAACTTCTGAAGGACTCAGCACTCCACTCCTCTTTATAAGCGTCTACACTGTTCTTTTACCTCTTATTTTGGGTAGAAAACCCTTACTGAATCTATAATCTCTGTAAAGATACAAAACTGAACTAATTCTCTCTCTGGTTCCGCTAGCTTTAGGATCAGTGCCTAATGAAGAGGGAAGCAGACAGCAGAGCCCAAGAGAGAAGAGAAGGAAGAAGTTTAATCAACCTTCCCTTTGGGGCATTTCTCCAAAGTCTTAGAATGGGGCAAAACTGACAACAAATGGGCAGTCTTTGCATCTGCTCCCCAAGACACTGTTTTTCCTAAAGCATCTAAACTTAGGTTCCTGTCCTCCAGGACCAAAGAGACTTTGTGGAAAGAGGTTCTTGTCAGGAAGGTGATCAAACATTATTCTTCTGTTAATTACAAAACCAGACAGAGGTGTTAGTAGAAACGGGAACAATGAATTAATTACACCACAGCAACATGAGATCTGGTCATGAAACCAAAGTCTTCAGGTAAGGTGCCAGGTTCTTAAGTTTTACTACCAAAACCCAAACAAAGCCCAACCTTATATAGATGTATAGTACTAAAGATTAAGAGGAGAAACCCTATACCAACATGTCCAAAAAGATTAAGTGGCAGGTCTCAGATCTACATGAAATTCAAAAGCAAATAAGCAGCGCTGCTTAGGGAGAGCCAAATCCTGAGTAGGAGGCTTGGCAAGGAAAATGGATTTTAGTAATATCCAAGAAAAACTGCCACCAAAACTGCAAAAGCATCTTTCTGCAACAGAAGACAAACTAAACGAGCATAGGGCTGGATCAGAAAATAGAAGGCTCTAGTCTGCAGCTTATTGTCCCAACAATCTAGGCAATAATTTTTAACACCTCTGACATCCTGTCATACTCTGAATCCCTACATACTTTCTTCCAGTTCTGAGGGGTAGCCAGCCAAACTGGTTTCCTGAACTGCATAACCAACAGGATTCCACATGTTGGCTTCAAATGCAACCAGTTAAATCACTCTTGAAATTAGGGCCCTTCCAGACTCCAGAATAGGCACTCTGCACTCCATTCCGTAACAGACTACCAATCCCTAGCCCTAGTGTTTATATACTTTGCACCTCCTAAAACCTACAGTATTGTATTTTATTCTAATGGGTCATTTCAACCTGTTGAAGCAAAGATTCAGGGTGAAACTTGGCCTCTTCATGGAGAATAAAGAAGTAAAAGGATGCCTGTGAGTATGAGAGAAGGAAATAAATAGGCTTAAAGGCACATACTCAATCCTCTTCCTCGTTCTCTTTTCTGAAGGATAAAGGCATTCTTGCTAATTCTCTATAATAATTGGTGAATATCTCCTTATCTGGTCTAATCTGGCTCTACGAACTCAAAGGAGCACCTGAGAAAACAATGTTCTTTTTTCTATTTTTTTTATTAACAAGCAAAATAATAATTAAAAAACAACAACACAACAACAAAAACCTTAAACTTGGAACTGCAATAAGTCAAACTGCTGCTGGAGTTCACAGATGTACCTGGGGTACATGCTCCCTCACTGCAAGGCAGGACCTAGGCACAAAACTGTGCATTTAGGTATACAGGTGACCAGGAACAGTCAAAGAGGTGGAAACCACTGGAGAACAGAAAGCATCACAAGCTTTTCATCAGGCAATTCCAAAGCGCTCTGCTCTTTTCCTCTTCTTTGCCTATAAAGAAGCAAGAAGAAAAAAATTAGATTGCAAGACAACGGTGGCTCAGGTTCCTGGCCGCTTTAATCCAAACTCACATGGGCTATCACAAGGTCCAAGGAGGAGGGAAGGCTGCACTTCAGCTGGCAGCCAGAGACTTAATGTCTGAATCTCTCCGGTCATCCCCTTAGGGCAGTTTGGTGGCGGGGGAAGAAGAACAAACAGTGCCAGAAAAGCCAAGATTCCAAAGGAGAGGGGGCCACTAGCTGCACAGCGAGTCAGCCGGGAGACAAGGGATCCTGCAACAGGCTTGGGGAGAGTCTCCAGTGAGTGAGGAAACAGGAAATTTCAAAGGACAAAAGGCTGACCAGCACTGTATCATGGAGAATGTGAAGGGGATGCCCTTCTGGGCACTTAGGCCCAATCAGCAACTATTTCTTAGGCCTCCAAATCTACAGAAGGACATATAAATCTTCAATGGTAACAGAATAAATGTGGGGTGGGGGCTGCCCCAACATGGACCTCTTAAAGGAGGCAGTGTTGAAGAGAGGGCACAAAATGGGTAGAGGAAGAGAAAGAAAGATATTTTTCTTCTATAAGTGACTCACGAAATAGTATGAGTTCTCACTCTAACCACTGACCCCAGCAAAGAAGGGGCTTTCTGAAAATTCCATTCACAGAGGTTTAATTTAGATTAAAAAGAAAAGCTGACTGTGATGAGTGTCTTCTGGGGCTTTGTTGGCTTCCTGGTGTTCCGGTTCATCCCTAAAGGTCCCAACTGAGGAGTGACCATCACTATGTCGGTAATCTGTTCAGTATACTGCTATCTCTTTTGGCTGATTCCAATTCTGGCCCAACTCAACCCTCTCTTTAGCCCACAGTTGAAAAATGAAACCATCTGGTACCTCAAGTATCACTGGCCGCGAGGAAGAAGACCTGTTTGCCAGTGCTCTGTCACTGAGGTCAGGAAGAGAACTCCTCTAGACGTAAAATCACCTCGATATCCAAGCTACCTTCCTTAACATACCCACTTTGGCCAGCAGCTGCCTTAAACGTTCACACATTTGAATATCTTATTTTACAATGCGGTATTTTTTTCCTGTCATCCTTTTTACACTTTGATGAATGATGTGCCTATTTAATCTAAACTGTACTGCTTCTATAAAATGTTTATGCCCTCTTCCAAGAGTGAAAGTGCTGTTCTTCTGAGAAATAACGTTACTCTCTCCTTGGAATCTGTGGATTTGAAGATGGCTCCTGTCTGCTCACATTATAACAATCAGCAGTTTACAAAACTGTTGTATGACAGGTTCCAGTGGGGCAGTCAGTAGGAGAACATGTTCAGAGGGAAAATCTGTCCCACCAAAATTGTACCAATGTATTTAATATATTATACTACAGTATTTTCAGGATGAATTTATTTCTGCCATCTTTGGGAATACATTATTTTTCTGCTTTCTATGGGGAAAAAAAGAAAAGTTGAGTGGGCCTTCCCTGGTGGTCCAGTGGTTAAGGTTCCATGCTTCCAGTGCAGTGGGCATAGGTTCAATCCCTAGTCAGGGAACTAAGATTCAACATCCTGTATGGTACATCCCCCCCCCCCCCAAAATAAAAAAAGCTGAGTGTACACAGGCCCAGCCCACTGCACCTGGATTACTGATACAATTCTTTGGAATCAAATTAGAGTCACCTGGTTCATATAAACTCCATCAGCCTCAAACGCTACTACTCCCTTACAATCACTAACTCTCCCAATAAAAGCCATTATTCTTTTCTACTCAATGAAATCTTCATCTGCCTTATCTTGAAGGTCAAATGTACCAACTCAGTGAGCATGCCTGGTTTAACAATAGTTTCCTTGGTAAAGAGGGAGTAATTTAAACAATTAACTTGTTTCAGGCAGCACTGAGCCTGCCGCTGCTGCACGGGCCTTCTCCAGCTGTGCTGAGCGGAGGCTCCTCGCCAGCTGCAGTGCGTGGGGCTCTCTCTGCAGAGGACTCTCCTGTGGGGGGTCATGGGCTCTAGGCACGTGCGCTTCAGTTGTTGAGGTGCGCCAGCTTAGCTGCTCTGTGGCACGTTGGGATCTTCCCAGACCAGGGATCAAACCCACGTCCCCTGAACTGGCAGGCAGATTCTTAACCACTGGACCACAAGGAAAGTCCCAAAGAGAGGGTAATTTTAACCAGAATTAAAACAAGTCTAAGTTTACTTCTAGGTCATCCTGGCAAGTCAGCAAGCAGGCAGACATTTACTTACAACAGGTAATGCTTTATTTTGCATTAGCAGCACAAAGAATGCAAACTCTTAGTTTTTTCTTAATGAAGAATGTAAACTGATCTGATTCTGAAATTTTCAGGGTTTATTACCCTGATATTTAAAATTGACCCTGATATTTACTTACAGGGACCATAAGATTTTGAGTGTGTGAGGTAACAGATTTTAAAAGGTCGTCTCTAGAGATAGATGAAAGAAAGAAATTTGGAATAAATGGAAGAAGCAACATTTCAAATTCCTCATCAGCTAAGAAGTTTCTATCATTATTTTAACTGTTCATGTACACCTTTGCTGACACTTGGTTTCTATTATAGATACTCTCAAACCAGCAAATCATTATTGTCTGTCAATGCCCTGAGCGGTCTGCCAATGCTCAGTCTCAACAAATATTACTCCAAAGAATGCTGGTATATGGATGCATATGTCCTGACAAACAAAAGCCGTTCTTTCATTTTCAGAAACCATTACGTAAAGAAAATGATAATAACAAGAAGTCTCATTTGACGACTTCCCCAGTGGTCCAGTGGTTACAGACTGTGCTTCCAACGCAGGGGGCGTGGGTTCAACCCCTGGTGAAGGAACTAAGATCCCACATGTGGTGCAGGCAGCCAAAAACAAATTAAAACAAAAAACTCCCATTTGAGCCCAACTGTCTTATTTCAGAGGCAAGTTAGGTACAAGGACATTTGTGTCTGGATTGAATATGGTGGCGTTAAATCATCTGCTTGGTGATAATCAGAGACATTGCAACTTACTACATAATTAATAATATGACAAACACTGTCAAACATTTTATGCAGAATCACTTCACAATTAAAATACTGCTTTGAGGTAGGTTTTATTATCTCCACTTTCCAGATGATGAACCTGAGATTCAAAAAATTACTATAACTTATAAGTAATGTAATACTAAGTGGCACAGTCACTTAACCAAGTTTACCTGATTCAAAATCTTGTGCTCTTTCTTACTAGGTTAACTGGCTCTTAACAGTAAATTACTAAAGTATACTGATGGAATTCAGTAGAGTCTCTTTATCCAGAAAACAGATATCAAGCAAAGGACCAAAAATCTTGTCATTTAGGCACCTAAGTAGTAGCAGGGAAATAAAACGTTTCTCTATTCTGTTTGTTTGTCTTCACTTTCCATTCAAAGGCCCTGTGAAGCATTTCAGGTATATTTTACCTCTGTATCCTCTGTGGTTCCTGTTCCAGCTGAACTTGTGACAATCCCAAATCGCTCCTTCCTCTTTTTCAGCTTTTCGTCATCCTCCGACTGTTCAGGGACAAAGAAAAGGGTTGAAACAAGCTAGCCTCCATTCACAAGATAAACACCAGTGAAATTATAATTTATTGATTATATGCTGGCCAACCTTGTGTTAAGAACTAAGGATCACACAGAGAAACAGATAGGAAACTGAACAAGCTAGCATATAGCATACTGTCCCTAGAATGACTAAAAATGGCAACCCACTCCAGTATTCTCGCCTGGGAGTCCCAGAGGCTTTGGCGTCAGGTGGGCTACAGTCCAGGGGTCGCAGAAGAGTCAGACACGACTTAGCAACTAAAACAACAACTCTCCTACAGCATTTTAAAGCTGCTATTCACATCCAGCACTGTTCAATGTCAGAATCTCATACATATTATATTTTCATCAGGACCTAAACCCTGCCACTTTATCCAACTTTAACAGGTATTTTCTCCTTTCCCACCTTCTTCTCATAACCTGCCACCAGTAATCAAAAGCCCAGTCCTAAGATTAGAAACATCTAAAAGTAGGTGGCCTCCCTGGGTAGTTCTTCACCCCTAAAAGCATATTCTAGATCTTGACGTATCTAGACAAAGATCCTAGCCTCTCAGATATCCCAGGAGACCCTCTACTCCACAGACACATAACATTCTCATCATGGGCCAGGACAGTTTCTTTGACCTTATTTACAAAACATAACCAATAGAAGGTCAGGTTAAAAGTGTTGAAACAAACTTTGAGCTTATGTGTGGTGCTTCAGAGCTGGATTTAAAAAAAAAAAAGGCAAGCCCAAAAAAGTTCATATTCCTGCAGTATGTGTCTCTGGGTGTCCCAAAAACCACAGTCAAAAGGAAAGGCAACCAAGAGAGCTATAGAAACACAAGAACTTTCAAAATACCTTTACTCTCAACCCCAACAATGGAGCTGTCTTTGTTCCTCAGAGGAACCTGTTCCTGGTCAAAAGCAAGGTAGCTATACAGCTTTCTGTGTTCAATCTAACTAGCCCAGTTTTCTGAACACAGTAAGTAGTTAGGAGTACTTTCTCAGTCTTACTTTGGTTCTTTCGGCTTGAGAAACGTTCATTTTCTCCCTTGTGCTGTATCTGCCTTCTAGCAAGGAAGAAAGAAGCTAAGAAAAGTTGGTGGCTATTGAAGAACTGAAGAATCCTACACATGAGTTATCATCACTTAATCACAGAATACTGCCTACATAATTTGTCTGCCTTTTTCATTATAACCATTAGCTAATCCACAGTGGGCATATAATTAATGTAATCTAAACTACTGTAAAACATTGAGCCAAGTTCAAAGGAAAAAAGAAGTATTCTTATCTTTAATAACATAAATTAAAATAATCATGATTATATTACAGCCACTATTAATTGGGTGTGGGTGCTTACTATGTGGCAGGTACTATATGAAGTTCTTTTACATGCAGTATCTCATTTACCTGGTTTAACAACCTTAAAGATACCAGGTACTATGACATACATAGCACGTCATCTCATAGGTAAGAAAACTGAGGTTTGGAGAGATCTAACTTGCCCAAGTCTCACAAACAGGCAAGCAGCAGAGCCAGAAGTGGAGCCCAAGCCCCTTTACCCGAGAGCCTACTCCTCAACTTTACCAAAACCTCAGGTATCTCACGTAAGCATTTCTTTGGAAGAACAGTAGCAGAACGGAAGTAGTGCTTAATTTCCAAGGGAAGAAGGATCACTAGGACCCTTTGCTCAATGCTAGGATCCCATCCCCTTTCTACCAATCATATGCCTCCATTTCATAACCAGGAATCTAGGGAAAGGACTCCAATTAGTAGTCTCATACTTAACATTTTCTCAAAGGAACGTGTTTCTAATTTCAGTTAATTGGCTATTCCATATGTTAAACTGTATGAAAAGAATTAGGGGTTCCAATGAACACAGGCCTCACTATATTTTTCTTTACCAAAGCCACTAGGAAGTTTTTCTTAATTTTGTCTACCACCACTAAAAGTGAATAAGAGATATAAATGGAAATTTCAAAATGAGAATCTCTATAGAACATTGTAGATGAGCAAACCATTTTGTTAAGCCTCCAGGCCAAGCAGGAAACAGCTTTAGGGGAAATAAAAGGAGTGTACATAGCCTTTTTGGGGATAGGCAGGACTAGACCATATCTTGTTGAACTACCACCACAGACTTTTTTCCAATCAATGCAGTGCTAGGGATACTTCAGGCTTCCCTGGTGGGTCAGCTGATAAAAGAATCCACCTGCAATGTGGGAGACCTGGGTTTAATCCCTGAGTTGGACAGAGAAGGGAATGGCTACCCACTCCAGGATTCCTGCCTGGAGAATTTCATGGACTGTATAGTCCATGGGGTCGCAAAGAGTCAGACATGACTGAGTGACTTTCGCAATTCACAGGGATACTTCAGCAAGTTCAAATCACAGAGGGAGATATTACTGCTGAAACCTAGCTATTCTCTCAGCACAAACCATAGGCCCATTCTCTTCACAAAGCCTATGTCCATTTGGAATGTGTGGGACATTTTTTCCTCTGGTTGGTTCTCTACTTTGGTATATCCCAAAATGGGAGTTTGACTTCTAAATTAAATTTCCTGTGTTTCTTTTTGAGCTCAAAGGTGAGGAAAGAATGAGGGAAGAAAAAAGAAGGGTGAGTGAGGTCGAGTGGATATTATATTTCTCTAGCCACTAAGGCTAGTTATGAGAGGATTTCCCCTTGAGATCCCTTTTTTAATCCTTTGGTGCCTCTCCTGGAGATCCAGGCATAGCATCTGCTCCAAATCTACCAGGGGCTTTAAGGGGAGGGGGCGGGGGAAACAATACAGATGCCCCCACTTCCCATCCCCTATGAACAGTCTGCACACCCTCATCTGCAGAGACCAGTGAGGGTTTTATTTATTTTGTGCATGCCTGCTCTTCCCTCCCTACCCAGTGCCCCTCAGCTCCCTTCCTAAAGCCTCTTTCCTCCTTGCCCTGCAGGGAAAGTGCACAACAGGCCCAGTAAATCAACACAGTTCTAATGATCTCTCTCACTTGACCCTTCTAGCGTGACGGTGTCGCATGGAAACAAATGTACAATAAACTTCACTCCATCTTTAGCTCCTTGCTGACAGGTTTTGATTCGTGGGATGCTGAGACCCATCTGAGGAAAATTACCTCGATCAAAACGCATCTCTCTCTGCATTCATCAGGCCGATGCTCCCCCAGGCCATGCTCAAGTGCATAAATGGGGTGCATCTGCAGGCAGCACTGACCCCTCTAGCTCAGTGTCATATGCATTTGCAAGTCTTTCCCTTCTTCATCCCTCCCCTACTCCCCTCCCACAAACCCTCAACAACTAACAAATTCTTTTTCTTCCCAGGCATGCTCTTGAATAGTACTGGAATCTGAAGCACCCTTATTTGCTATCAAGTGAAAACTCCTCAAAACACAACTTGCATCCAAAGTCAGAAGACAAACGTGTCCTCACTGACTAAACACAGGCATTGGACTGATTGATCCATATCACTTCCCCATTCTCTCAGTCAAGACATAAAGAAGAAGCCTGACATCAATAACTTTAGCATACACGATCCTCACTCACATCTCCCAATAACTGCCTTGTTTTTCTTTTCAAAAGCTTGGAGATAAAAACAAGAGAACTGTGTGAAAGAGGAGACAGCCCATATAAGAAGCAAAAGGCACAAAGTATGATATATATATTCAATAAAGTCAAATGCTTTCATAAATCACTATCACTGCATTTTCCATCATGGAATAAGACAGTTCCAAACTGAACTCTTTAGAAGACATCTTCAACTTTTTAAAATTCATTTTTCTTCCTGTTTCTCTTTCAGATTTGGCAAATCCTTGGACAATCCCTGGACAATGGATAGGAAAGACTGAGACATCCCAGATCGCCCCAAGGTACAAATTATATCTGTGACAATGCTTAGTACATAGGAACTATCGTATAGATATTCAATAAATGTTAGGCATTATTTCAACTGCTTCTTTCTGGTCCTTGATACAAAGTTCGAGACCATCAACAGAACTCTGAAGCTAGCGTCCTTCTTCCACACTAGGAATGAAGTCATCGGAAGCTGTTAGAAGGTGGTCCAGCGGCTAAGAGTCCCCCGCCAACGCAGAGCACACAGGCTCCAGCCCCGGTCCAAGAAGACCCCACGTGCCCCAGGGCGACTGAGCGCACGCGCCCCAACGACTGGGCCCGCGTGCTGCGGCTACTGTAGCTGGCACACCTAGAGCCTGTGCCCCACAGCAGGAGAGACCCACGCGCTGCGACAGCAGTGGCCTCCACTTACCACAGCGAGAGAAAGCTGGCACACGGCAACAAAGGCCCAGTGCAGACAATAAATAAATAAAAACTAGGGGAAAAAATCTGCTAAGAATCAAGACTCACTACCAACACGACAAAATAACTTCCTTTAGTTGCAAGGCAAATGATATTTGGACAGAGGATCAGATTTAGGGTTAAGTGTAGCAGAACAGAGCTCAGCAAAACCATCAGGTACTATTAACCATCTTCTCTTCCTGGGACCCTAAAAAAAGAAAATTTATGCTACCAGGCTTTACTGATTTCATCATCCCTAACAATTAATGACTACCAAAACAGATATCTATATAAGGTAAGGTCCAAGGGAACTGAGCAAGGATTTGACCTCTAATACTATAGACCCAATTCCAGGTACTCTCAAGGCCCTTGAGGAAATGCTTCCCTAAATTACACATCAGTTTCTATCAACATCGTCAATAACACTGAAACTATAAAATTAAACCATTCATCCACTAGTCATTCAAATATCCACTGAGAGTCTACTCGGGGTCAGACAAATGTTCTGGCATCGGGAATAAAAGATGAGTAAGAAAAAGATCCTTAACCTCACAGGACTTACAAATTCACAACAGAGTGACTATAAAGATGTGTGCCATTTTTCATTGTATCACTGCACTGTGAGGATCCATGGGGAATTTTTCCTTCTGGATCCCAGGCCCAAAATAATCACGTTTTTGGTGAGCAACTTGTTA